GAGCCTGACGCGGGGCTCGAACTCACAGACCGTGAGATCGTGACCTGGCTGAAGTCGGACGCTTAACCGACTGCGCCACCCAGGCGCCCCGAGGGGAGTCTGTTTTAAAGCAAAAAAGTTTTCATAAATTGCATGTAGAGGTTATGAAGATTAAGGATTTGGTTAAATGAGACATCAGGAAACAAATTAATTTTGAAGCTTGAGATCCTGAAGCTGGAAAAGTTGGTAGGGATGTTCAGGTCCAAGATGTAGCTGGGCCACAAATGGTTCGAACAGAAATTCCTGATTGGAATTGACAGGTTTATGGCCAAGGTGTTAGAAAAGTCATCACACTGGCATCACCCAGCATGACAGCAGTGGGCAGGGATAGGATGGGCAGATTGCAATTTAATTGCTAAAATTACTTTTAAAAAATGGGCGACTACCCTGTAGGCCGTTAGGTGATAGGTGATACAAAATAGTGTAATGTGATTACTAAAGTACTCTGAAAAGCATCGAACATACACGAACATGATTATTTTAGGTAATTTTCAAATTACTTCTCCATTTTACAAGTGGGGTCAGTACCATACTGTAATAAACCCTAACTCTAACAACACCAGACTGTAATAAATTACCTAGTTAAGACCTGAAAGTACTTTGTAAATACAATATTTATGCAAGTTAGTTTCTTTGATACTGTGCTGATAAGATCATTATTAATGCTAATAGTATAGAATACTATGTTCAGGATTTAACATGCCAAACCTTGGGTATAGACTTAGTGGAATACTTTGAGCAGTTCTTCTGCACTGACCTCCTTAACTTCCAACCCATTCCACAGAAGCGGCCAAAATTATTTTTGTAAAATGAAAACGTGGTGGAAAAATCAGTGTGGTTTAATCTAGGAGTAGAAGCGATGGAACCCGAAGAATCTCGGTTTCTATCTCTGCGCTACCACTTATTAGATACGTGAACAACAAACACACGCCGCACAAAGGTCTCTCCACTGTTCCTTCAGTGTCCCGTAATCAGGATGACTTCCTCAAGAAAGGCTACCAAATGAAGCGAACACGCAAACCAAGACAACACCATTGTTTACGTTAACTTTCGCCAGATCGACTGCTTTCTACGAAGTATCCAGGTGAAAGAGGCGGCTGAGATGTTTTCTGGCTTGAATTGTTCGAAGAATCACAGCTGTTTTCCGCACTGATGTTTCCGACTCCCTTTCACCCTCCTGATTCCCCAGCTAACTCCTTCTTGGGGCTACAAGGAATTCCGAGAGAGACCCGGAAGGAGAAATCGCCTTTTCCGCCAGAGGAGGGCCCACCCTCTCCGAGCCGCCTAGGCGGGGTCGAGAGAGGGAGCTGCGCGTGCGCAGCGACGTTGGTTGCCCTTCCGGTACGCCCGCCCGGCGCGGAGAGGAGGCACGGACGCAGGCACGCACTCACGCACGCTCTCCCTTACTAGCGCCGCCGCGGTAGCTCCCGCGTACGCCAGCTGTGCGGTCCCCCGGCCGAGATGCTGCGGGTCTGTCAGTTATCGGGTGTGACTGCCGCCGCCCAGGTGAGCGCGGGGGCGCGAGGAGAGGGAGCGCGTGGTCAGGCTGACTTCATGCAACCAAAGGAAAATGGGGGAGGCTTTCTCTCTGTCTAGGCCCCAGGAGAGAGGCGTGTGTCAGGGTCGCCCTCATCTGCGAGAGTCCCGGGCGGACCCGTGAGGCAGTTAGTTGGGGATTTAGCCCAGCAGGATGACTTGAGGGTTATTGCTGAAGCGGGATGGGGTGTAGAAAGGAGTCGGTGGCGGGTAGGCGGGCGCAGGAAGGTAGGCACGGCTTCGGGGACCTGTCATCCAATCAGCCCC